AGCCATTCCCCCCCTGGGTGCGGGCTGTGACCGCCCGCCTCACTCCCCAGTCAGCTCTGCTCAGGACCTGCTCTACTTCAGGGAAGAAGATTTATGTATTATATGTGGCTATATTTCCTAAAGCACCTGTGTTTTTCTCTTTCTAAGCCAGGGTCCTGTCTGGATGACTTACGGGGAGGGGGATGTGTAAATCAGAACTTTTAATCTATTTGAAAGTGATTAAACTGTGTCTAATGCAAACTGCCTGCCTCCTCCTTCCCCCTTCCATTTCAAGAATCATCATGGGGTGTGAGTGTCTTTGTGTGGTAGGGTGGGATTGGGGTGGGGGTAGAAGGGGTTGCTAGTTACTACCCATACTTCCATTTTCTGGGGGACCCTTCAGTGGGAGAGATAGCTCCCAAACTCTCCATTGATTTCTACTACATTCTGGGCCAAAGTTCACCTTATTCTGGACTCTAAAGAAAGGGCTTTCAAGGCATTATACAAGGTTAGCAAGATGGGGAGGGTTGGGGGGTATATTCACTTAAGAGAGCAAGTTCTTTATTGAGATGTTGTGTTAATGCAGATGAATGCCGTTAATTGTAAATGAGTCTTGGTTATTAAAGGAGGCACATCAGCACCTCTCCTGGGAAATACTTCGTTAGTGATCTTTTACAAGTGATGGTATATATTTCATTTTAAGTGGTCTATAATCAAGACTCCTTGCCAATTCCTATCTTACTCTTTCCAGTTCATCAGAATGAATGAAATTTGGCTGCTTCCAGATTTTTCTCTATGTCTTTCTATTTTCCTTATACCAGGATTTGAGTTGAGAGGGAGGGAGGAAGGGAGAGAGAGAGAGAGAGAGAGAGAGAGAGAGAGAGAGAGAGACTCGGGCTCTTCTTTTCTCTTCTCTTCTCTTCCTCTACTTTACCATTCTCTTTCTGGCTCTCTCAGTCCTTATAGTTACATTTTAGTTAGTTCAAAATAACGCCAACCCTGGAGAGTTTGGAAGCTATTAGATATTTCCAGTTAACCTGCCACTCAGATGAATCTCTTTTTAGTAAGTTCTGAGCCCATCCTGTCTCAGCCCATCTTCTCTCCTGGATTAGGACGGATTTCTCTCCTCCCTTAACTTACCTCAACCACTCTTCTGCTGACCCTTATGTCAGTCAGAGGAGCTTTCTCTTTCTAAGGTGAAGGGTCAACATGGAAATCTCCTATCTCTTGTATGAAATAATATATTTTAGCTTTCTGCTTTTTCATGCTTCCTGCCCTCTTTCTTTACCTATATAAATCTTCTGTATTTAAGACCTTGGTCTGAAGATCTATTCCATCCGTACCATGCACCATCTGGGACTGTCCTTCATTTGAGTTCTGATCAGAGGGGAGATTGAAGAATTGGTCTTTTTAAATGGCTTGCATTCTTTCCCTCTCTTCCCTTCCTTTGCATTCCTTCAGTTTCCTATGCACCCCACTTCCCCATGTGAGGATGGTTGGTCCAGGTCCAAAAGCTTTGGGGGTTGGTGGGGTTTGGCTATTTGGGGCCATTTCTTCATGTCCATTTGGCTCTGGGGCCCTCCTTGCCCTAGCAGAAGGCATACGCTCTCCCTTTGCTTGTTTCCCCAGGGGCAAGTGGTGGGCTCTAATTCTATAGCAGCTAAATTCCATTCTTCCTGTGCTAACCTACCTGCCTTTATCCCAAGGGCCCTTTTCCTACTGACCAAATTGCTTTACCTTTTTGGGGAAAGAAAAAGTATTTTGTTTTTAAATCTATTTTCTAACTTAAATGCAATTTAATATGTAAATCTCTGCATTTGTGTGTGAACCTACAAATATGTATGTGTGGTGGTTTTTTCACTCTCTGGTATTTCTTAATAAAGAACCCTTTCTTTTCGGGGAAAGCCAATTAATGAAGAAGACTTGAATGGTTTTAGAAATACAGGGATGTGTGCTTCTTTGTGCTTCTGTCTCATTTCTTTACTTGTGCCTAGCATGAGTGGCTGGCCCCCTCCCCCACCTTTTGACCCTCTTCCTTTGAGAGGGCTTTCAGCCTAGTGGGGCAGAGAGAGGAGCCTGTCTAGTGTCTGGTACCCCTCTGGGACCACTTGGATTGGCTCAAGTGGTAACCTAGCAACCCCATCCCTCTCTCTGTGGCCTGGCCCTGTTAGTCCTTTTCTTCCAGCTCAGTTTATTTTATACTCCTGAGGCTGGGGCCAGGCTCGGCGGAATCACCAAGGGATCACAGTAAATAGTTTTTAAAAAATGATAATTTGTTCTTGTGCTTTGGTGCTATTAAAGAAGAGCAATGTTTCTAATAATTCAAAAAACATTTGTGTCAGTTTTGAGAATACATTTTATCCATCGCTTGCTGTTCTTAGGTGATAGGTTTTAGAAATAGTATCAAAGGCTAAAATTGTGACTCTTATTACCTTTAAAAGATGCAAGCCCACCTTGCAAAAAAGATAGTCATTGTAAATTTCATGTTTCAAATAAATATGAAAGGAGAATGGGAACTAAAAATCTGTATCTGTAAACTTTCAAATGGCATATAGAACATCAACGGAAGTGGAAAAACCTAGTGTAATTAACTGGGCCTAATTATTTTACAAATAAACACAAAACATGTTTTTACAGTTTTAATATATACAGTGAATTTCCAGGAATGCAACCATTGTGTAAATTCAGGGAAGATAGTACTTTATTTTGTTCAAAACTTTAATAACATTTGTCACTTTTGAAAATCGTGTCACCAATAGCAATGCCATTATGGATTTTTAAGTTGCCATTATAATGTACCTGTATTCATCTTCCTTTGTAGCAGTTGAATCCACAGGGATCTACATATATAAGTGGAAGCATCTGACTTCAAGTATAGTATTGCCCAGGCATTTACATATTGAAATACATATTATTTTATTATAAACTACTTTCCCTTTATTTCTCCTTTATATTATAATTAGTGTATTATACTGCTCTTCTGGAAATTATGTGTATATGCAGGTTATAATAACTATGAAATTTCTTTCAGGGTGGCAAAGGGTTTATTACAAAACATTGTATATATCCAGGGAGGTTTGGAGCTGACAGGGTTGAGAACCATTGGACTCTCAAATGTCCTGTTCTACTTCTAAATATTTGGAAAACTTAGAAAATAAACAAATCTCTTCCTCCCTTCATACCTGTAATGTGCTTTTTAATTTTAAAAGTAACTCATGTCCATTATTGAAAATTGAGAAAGTATAACCAAGTAAGATTTTAAAAAATCATCCATAACCTCATTACTAAGGTATAATAATCATTGTCAGTGTTTTGGTGTATTTCTTTGTAGTCCTTTTTGTGCATGCATACTTTTAAACATAACTGGAATTCAACTGTGAATATAGTTTTGCAATCCTGCTTTTTTAAATTAGCATTTTTCATATCATTAGAAATTATTTCTTCATGACTCCATAATATGTACATAACTCTTCCCCTATTATCAAGACATTTAAGAGTTTCCCATTTGTCATTATTATAAATAATGCCACAACGAGCTTTTTAAAAAAATCTGTGAACATATCTGTGATTATTTCCTTAGGATAGATTCCGAGGAGTGAAATTACTGAGTCAAAGGGAGTGTTCTTTGAAAGACTTTTGGCAAATATGGCTAAATTGCTTCACACAAAGGCTGTCCCAGTTTGTCCTGCCAAGTAGTGTCTCAGAGAGCTTGCTTCATGTCTCATTTAAACATTTAAACACATCTCATTTAAACACTCCATAATTTTATCATTGTAAACTGGTACCTCAGTATCACTTGATTTCTATTTCTTTTGTTAATGAGTTTAAACATTTTTCCACATCTACCTTTGCCTTCTTTCTTGCCATTTTTATGCTGTGACTTCGCTGTCCAAATCCCGTGTTTATTTTTCTTCTGGTATTAAATAATTTGCTACTCAGTTCATAAATTGTGAGTTTGATAGCTCACACTCCACCATGGGCCCGGAAATGAGGGGGCCATGATTTAGAAGTGGTTTTACAACTCTGGAACCTGGAGTAGAATTATTTCCCTGACATTCCATGCCTTTTCATTTCTTTTTAAAATATATTTTTTATTACTTTCAGAGAGGAAGGGGGAGGGAGAGAGAGAGAGAGAAACATCAATGATGAGAGAGAATCATTGATCAGCTCCTCTTGCACGCCCCACACTGGGTGTTGAGCCTGCAACCCGGGCATGTGCCCTCACCAGGCATCCAACCGTGACCTCCTGGTTCACAGGTCGACACGAGACCACTGAGCCACCTCAGCCAGGCTCTTTTTGTTGTTGTTAATCCTCACCTGAGGATATT